AAATACTCTTCTGAAATATAAATTTGGTATATTTCCTATGTATAATGATAGCTCTTGCTAAAAGGCATTTGTCTTTGCAGCAGTTTGAATGAGCCGAAATAAACCTGTCTCAGCTGCCAACTCCAGCTTACTCAATAAGTTTGGGAATACATTCAAAATATACTTGTTAGCAAAAGTTGAGCATATGTTCTTTGGCTCATTGTATACCCTACGCATTGACTGTTGATAACAACTTTGAATAAGTTATTCTTAACAAGTGACACTAGCTAAAGTCTCTTTGACTCGACTACGGACAGCTCTTTGTAAGCTCAGAGTATAAGCCGCAAGGCTGTGTCATCACATTCACAATGCGTATAGGGCATTCATATTGCCCACTATGATATAGGGTATAGAAAATTGAGTTTCTCGGATGAAATCTCCACGCCACTGTTGCAGCAGCTATGTCAATCAGCTTAGCGTCTGTTCGAAGGCTGTCAATGGCAATTACGTAAAAGTCAAGTCTTCCACAAATCACAATGTGCTCCACTGAGCTCTCTTGCTCTCAATCTTTCCATCTCTCCTGGAGATTCAGCTGGTTGGCATAGTTGATGCATGTGCTTCAATTCTGTAAAAGTTCATGTACATCATTTGTCCTGCCGCTAATGGAAATCCCCCAGCTAACACCAATAGAGCTGCTGCCTGATGTGCATTTGTCAAATAGTTGTGCACAGCTCTAACACCTTTGCACCTCTATCTCTCTGTGCGTGTGTGTGTGTGTGTGTGTATTTGCCCTGGGACATTGGCACGAAATTTTGGCTGACGTTCGATTAGTTGACGCTCAGCAGTTGGCAAATACTTTGGCCCCAAAAATGAATGTAGCCATGGCATGTGATGTGGCCAACAACTGAGCAGCTGAGCAAACGAAACGAACCAGGCTTCAACTGAAGTAGCACGTTTTATGGCCACAGCGCCAACTTTATCCTTAGACGACATCGTCAACGTCTGTTTCGAGTCATTCTTTCATCTCGGCGACGTTTTTCACATGTTCAGCTGCAATTTTGTTGTTTGTTTTATGTGCTGCTGCACTCAGAGAAAATTAAGTTCAAAGTTCCAATATAAGTAACATAAAATGTAAATTTCTGCAGCAAAATTTATTCACAAATTATAAGTTTAAGTTATTCAAGACTATCTAATGTATAATTTATTAGACAAAACATGATAGAAAAATTTTTAAATTATTCTTTTCTATTTTTTTTTTCTTATCAAGAAATTTTATGCTTGAATAGAGTCAAGAGTGAGACTGAGACTGAGACTGAGACTGAGACTGAGACTGAGACTGAGACTGAGACTGAGACTGAGACTGAGACTGAGACTGAGACTGAGACTGAGACTGAGACTGAGACTGAGACTGAGACTGAGACTGAGACTGAGACTGAGACTGAGACTGAGACTGAGACTGAGACTGAGACTGAGACTGCAATGCAGTCGTCAGTTTCTCTCAGTGTATGTACTTGCCACTTTTAGTTGCTCCAGCCAATTCATCTTGCCTCTCTCTGTCGTCCCTGCCACATGCTTCAACACCAGCGAAAGAAAGTGTTGCATCTTTTAGGCGCCTGCTACAAGTTTTAACCTATAAATTTCTCATAGAGAGAATATTTTTAAGCTACTCTTCGGCAGACGTGAATGTATTTTTGTTTTTCTTTTTTGTGGCCTCGTTTTAGACAGCAAATGAAAAGCACTTATTTCATTTATTTATTGATGCCGCCTCCTTAGCAGCAACAGCTACAGTTGATTCATCTTTAAGTGTGCAAGTGGCTTAATGGCTCGATAAATTCGTTTGCTTTATAGATATTTTTTGCAGCAAATTTTCTTTCGGTTCATTAGCAATGTTTGGAAAACTCACTTTCAAGTTTAATATTAAATTATAATTTTTTTTAAATATTTCTTTTTTTTGCGAGCCATGATGAAGCGCTCTAATCAACCTCTTGCTACTGCATATGCAAATTGTGCGAATGAGAGAATGTATGAGTATGTGAGTGTGTGTGCTTGTGTGTGAGCATAATCACTGCACATGAATTAAAAAGTTTTGGGCATGCGAAAATATTTTGCAGTTTAAAGCAATTTGAAGTCATTTGTAGCCAATTTACAAATGTCTGCCGTTCGTTCACTCTCTCTCCCTCTCTCACCCTGAGTGTGTATTTGTATGTGTGCGCATATGTGTATGTGTTCTCAAATGCAATTACGTCTGCATATACACATAGACGCACAAATACATATGGGTTTGGCTTTTATATGCCAATGCGCTCAGCTTTGCTGTCATTCAACGTCATGCTATACCCTGTACTTAAATAAGTTATCCAAAAGGGTAGTCAAACGTAAGAGTTAGCATGCGTGCTGCTAATTATTTAATATTATAATTATTTTATAGGCTTATTGCTATCTAAATGCCATTCCTAAGTTCAGATTTTTCTATCTTGAGTTAAAATTCTGTTTAATTTGTTCAAACTCAATCAAAAATGTTGATTGATAGCTAGACTTAAGCTAAAATGCGGCTTCTTTATAACAGTTACAACAAATATATCAGGTTGCTATATTTTTCTTATATTATATCTGTCTATTTCTCTTTAAAGTTTGCCTTATCTCAAATTTGAAAAATTGTTCTTTCCAGCAAATGCAAACAAATCGCTTGATTAATGACTTGATTGATGCCTAATTTACAATTAAAATCAAACAAATAAATAAATTTTTCACAAATTCTAGCTCATTTTCACAGAGTATATGATAGTTGAGTGCTGTTAACTAAGGCTTAGTTTTTTGTTTCGACTTAAATAAGTCATGCTAATGGCAAACCATTAGCGAAAATTTCGCTCGCACACTCACTTTTACGTATGTGTGTGTGTGTGTGTGTGTGTGATAATTAAGTTGCATTTGTAACTGCCATTTGGTTGTGCATATGCAGTAATTTCATGTGTGCATGTGTGTCTCTGCGTGTGAGAGACTTTTGCTAAATGAAAGAGAAATGCGATTTTGAAGGCTGTTGTTAAATATTTAAATGCATTCCACGGGCCAAGGCATTCTAGCTATTCTTTACTTTTATTGATGTTGTTGCCACTGATTGCATAGCGGTTACATCAAAGGCTAATTGCCAAGCTAAGCTAAAAACGAAATTGCCTACAGAGCGCTAATGGCTTTCAAGGTGTTTGAGAAGCCTTGAAAGCAGCTTTCTGCAGGTATATATATTGTATGCACACATACATACATGCATAGTATATATAGAATATGTAGAATCTGCATTGATTAAGCTATTTAATCGTGCCGTTGATATAAATAAAAATCACTTTTAAAGGAGGAAATAAAATCTTCGTCAAGTATTCAACAATTACAAATTGAGCTAAAATAATCATAATAAATATAATATTGATACACAAAATAATGAAAATATAGCTAAGAAGTAATGGTAGAGCGCACGAAGTTAACAAATAAAATAAATAAAATAAATATAAACTTGGAATATACTAAAATTTAGTAAAGATAAAAAGCGAACATTCGATTGACTGCCTTTAAAAAAGTGAAGATGGCAACAAAACTTTAGAACATGCCTCAAATTATTATATGAATTATTTAAAAAATCAATGTATACTTTCAATTCTATAATAAATAAATTCAATACAATTCTATATTAGAAATATCTCTTATAACTTTCAATCATGGTACTTGAGCACCAGGGCTATTGAGCAAGGCCTTAAGGTGACAAATATTGGGGCCAAGATCCAGACAATAGCAATTGCCTTGTATTAGCTTATGAAGGGTCAAGTTAGAAAACTATAATTTAAACTGTAGACTTATATTTTTAATACATTATGCAGACAAAACAATTTCGATATTTGCATTTCAGATGTTTGTAATATTCAATATTAAATTGAATAAATGAAAGCCTTCATTAACTTTCTGAAATTTCCTCTATTTACACATTCTTCAGATGGAATTGCTTCACGAAAATAGAATTGCAATACTTTGTCAAGTGTTGCCAGAAGAATCAATTGGTTTGCATAAGCAAATTACAACAGAACCTGCAGCTAAGAATATTTTTTCATATTAATTCCCTTTTTTAGTTGATTGCATATGAAAGTCGTGACAGCAAGTAAAATGGCCGTGACAACAATGTGAACGTATGCACTTAATATTTCACTTTAATTTACCTTTTAATTGAGCTAATCAACACGCTAATAGCTACCGCTATTAACACACACACACACACACACATTGACAGAGAAAGCGAGAGAGAGAGACGTTAGTCTGGCTGTGTTTCTGCCTACGACCATTTTGCAGGACATATTTTATTGTTATGAGTTTTGCAGTCGAGTCGAGCCGAGTCGAGTCAAGTGGTGCGACATTAAAGTGGGGCAAAAATGTGGATACTGAAGTGGTGTGGAGTGGCGTGGAGCACTCGACTCGCCGCTGCTCGCTTTCAAAATTGCAGTTTAATGACTAATTTGGTTTTTGTCCAGGCCACGGCTGCTGCCAGTTGTCAGTTCTGCTGAATGTACTCAATGCGCTGGCAATTAACAATGTGCCAGAGCGAGAGAGCAACAACAGTTATGTCTCTCGCTCTTTCTCTCTTCCTGATACACACATATTGCATAGCCTTTATCTGACACACGCTAGGCAACTGTGTCTCTTTGTCAACGGAAGCGCACACTTGAGCAATGACGATACGACATTTCCTTAATGAAGCCAATCCAACTGCAAGTGTGTGCGTGTGTGCGCATGTGTGCGTATGTCTGTAACCTGCCTAATTGTGTGCTTAGACAATGTGTACTAGGTGAATGGTTCACAGGCCGCTTGTCATAAAACTTTACGGCTGCAAACTAACTGAGCTCAGCATTTCGTGTCGACCCGGCCGACGTGGCGTATGCGTAATTATAATAAAATGCCTGCATATCAGCATGTCTGCACTGCTGTCTCCAGTCGTGTCTGTCTGTCCGTCAAGCAATTGCATTCATTATCAGCGATCGACTCACCTGACACCAACAGCTCGCTGGTGCTGTTGACCAAATTGTCCATAATTGGCTGGAATGTGTAGAAGGTGAGAGTTTCCAATTTGTTTGCCTGCACATTGATTGACAGCAGAGCCGGTGTGCCACGCAACAAACCGGTGTCAATTTTCTTTAGTAAATTATTGCGCAAATTCAAAGTTTTCAAATTGTTCAAACCGTCCAAAGCACGTTCCGAAATACGCTGTATATAAAAAGAGATTGCAAAATTCAAATTAATACGGAAATGCGAGAACTTCGTAAATAATGTAAATTTATTGAGAGCCTAATATTTGACTATACTTATATAGTAGATTTAATAATTATACAATTTTAAATATTTTTTAAGAATAAATATACGTTTTTTATTGCCTTTCACCCACGAGAATAAAACGATAAGTAGTTTTGTGTAAGTAGAATTTCTTTTTTCATAATCTTCTGTTAGCTTTGCACACTTGACCCACCGATGCTAAAACTACTTTAGCCCGTCTGAAATATAAGTTTTATCGGGATGTCTAAAGTAGGTCTCCCTTGCGACGAGGAGTTCCTCAAGCTCCTCGACTGAAACTTTTGCCCGGTGAATGGCAAAAGGTTGGAAACAAAAAGAAGCGGCACAGAGCCAAGTCTGGAGCCAAATTTGACCAATTGTACCACGGCAACGGCGGAGGTGTGAGCTGGTCGGTTGTCATAGTACGAAGGCCCTATTTCTTCAGTAAATGAGGCCGTTTTATTTTTTCAGTTCAGCATAGTTTAGGCCTGAGAACGTTGTGTTCTGCTTCAGTTCGCTGTTGATCACGCCTTGTCAGTCCTAGAAAACGGCAATCCCCTTTTCGGTTTAGTCTTAGTCTTCGCTTATATTGATACGAATTTCTTGATAAAAAATCCAAGCTTTTGTTCCTTTTTTCCAATGGGTATTTCAATATGATATTGTAGTCTCATTGGCATTTGTTTTAAATACATATATATACATATATATCATGCTTAATTGTATTTATGCAATATCAACATTTTTGTTGCCGGAACCACAATTCGTGCGGCGTTTCGTCTCCGTTCTGCTAACCACTCTCTCTTCCTCTATCTCTCATGGCATTTTTTGTTTTGCCTGGCCGACAGAGCATACAAAAAAATATTTACTGCCATTTTTCCGCATTTTTGCGTATTATTTTCACTGTTTTTCTTTTCAATATTTTTCTTGATTTTTTTAAAACATTTTTCTCGTTGTCTCGTTTGCCATTGTTGTTGTGTTGTCTTTGTTTGCGTATTTATTTATGAATGTGTATGTGTGTGTGTGTCCGCATATAAAACATATGTAGATGCATATTTTTTCAACTGGTATGTTCCAATTCGTTTGCCTTGAATTTTATTATACGAAAAAAAGTGTTTATTTTCGTGGAAGGAAGCGCCAGTGAAAGTTGACTATGGCCCACAACTTCATCTTCACTCCCACTCTCTCTCCCTCTCTCAGTCAGTCAGTTCTATGGCTCGTCATTATTTAATATTCAATATGCTTTGCCTAGTGAAATGGATAAATTATGCATATTAAATGCGAACAGTCGAACGAGAGACATGTGCCGTTATTTATCCAACTTCCCTACATTTCTCGTTTCCCATTTCCACTTGTCTTGTCCGTAGAAGACACACAAATATATGGATAAAGATACAGTTATATCATACCATATCACAGCAGTTTATTTGTTTGCTTGCCATGCTGATTGACATAAAAAAAAATTTTTTTTATTGAGTTATTTTTGTTAGTTTGATGTGCGGAACAATTTTTTTTTTTTTACGAGGCGCCGCCAATTTATCGGCTTGTGTGAAGAAAAAAATTATTATTTATGGCAATTTTTTACGTAAACAAAATTATGATTCAAAACAAACAAAAAATCGACTGGCAGCACTTGACGTAAGCAGCGCGACTGAGATAGAATTGATAAGAAGTTTACGTTCAAGTTTAAAGTTAATAGAAGAATTTATGTATTGAAAATATAGTATAATGTATATATAGTATATGCTATCAAAATGTAGTAAAGTTGTTCTCAAGGCTGAACATTCAAGGAAGCATAGCCTACATTTTGGGGTTCTAGCTGAAGAACTTTCCAAGCTTTGCAGCTATACCTTCGTCTGAGATTATTATTTAATCAAAATGCCACGTCGCCAAGCTAAGAGAAAGATGAAGCTAACTGAAAAACCAAGATCTATTATACATAAATTAATTTGATAAGATTTTCAAATCCATTGCAATACTCAAAATCTCAGCTCTTTTATTTTGTTAATGGAATATGCTCCGATATTTGTTTAAGAGACAAATTTTATACGATAATTGCTATATTCTCCCTCTCTATTTGCCATCTCATCATAGCTAAAATTAATCACATTCTCGTCCATTCTGACGCCTAAATTATATAAAAATGTAAAAATTTAAATATAAATTAATTTTCTCCATCGTGTCTATGTTTAAAAGGTTTGGAAATTCGTAAGAAAATGCTACATGAAAAAATCCTTTTCTACAACCTTTCTAGCCCATTTAACTTAATATGAAAATAAGCATTTTGCTAACTATTTTAAAGTGGCTTTGAAAAGGTTAAAAATAACCCATTTTGTTTGCATTAAAGACAAGTTTGTCCATATGTAGAATTTATAAGAAAATTTGAAGCTTAACTGCTGGGGCAACACTTTTACTTTCGCTCCTGAAAGCATATGCTTAGCCGCTTAGCTGTTTATCTATTTATCTCTTTGAGGACTCGGTGACCGCTCAGTTGCTTAGCTTTTTATGTTGTGTCAGACAAAACCCAGGCACCTAAACCTTTTAACAGCAAATGATTTATGAAGTACACAAGCGCACACACACTCACACTCTCGCACACACATGCTGGGAGGAAAAGAAAAATGAAATGGATAACCCAAGCAAAAACATGCAACGCAATTTGCTTTTATTGAAAAGGACAAGGCAAGACGGAAAGTCATTTTCTTTTCCTTTACTTTTTCATTTTTTTTTTTTTGAAGGCAGCAAAACATATGCACAAGTAGGGTATATGGATATGGTAGCAAATCTGAAGGAAGCCGGGATCCAAAACAATGCGACACTGAGGCGATAACAAGGCCAATCATTATGACTATGACAATGCCCGATAAAGGAAGAAGCTAACAAGAAAAAGAAGCCACAGTTGGAGTGTAGATTGTCAGCATCAGCAGCAGTGCTCGCATGAAGATGGCGGCCAAAAACACTTGAGCAACACTTGAGATGGTGTGTGCCAGAGTGTGTGTGTGTGTGTGTGTGCGTGTGTTTGTCCTACTGGCCTGACACATATGCGAGTTGTCTGGGTGTGACATGATATGCGAGCACTTTGTAAAATGGAAAAATGAAACACGCAGCAAAATGAAAAGCAAAGACGAGAAGACGACAATGTTGGCCAGGATATGCAGGATTTACGCTTATCGTTGTGCCCACGCTTTCCCACACACACACACACACAGAAGAGCACAGGACTTAGCATAGAGTATACGAAGCGACATTTTCTATTTACTACACACACACCACACACACATAGACTTTGGCTGTGGCCATTTTTATGGCTGGATCCTTGCATATCAGATGGCCAAAAAGGAGTGCCATAAATCCATTATGCCATGATTTGTTATTCAATATTTTGTTAGTAGATTAACTTGCCTGCCGCACATTTGTTTGCCACCAAAGGCGCTGAAAGGATAATGCCACAGCGTGCGGCTAGCCAGCTGGCAGGGCTATCTCTGAATTAAGCTGTGCGGCCGTCGCCCCGACGAAAACATAATTTACCAATCTATTTATCATATTAGCGCCTATTCGGCAAACAGCGGGTGCTTGCGTGTGCCAAGTGGCAAGCGGCATGCGGCTTGCGGCAAGTGGACTTTGATACTTGAACTGCAACCCAAGCCTAGCTGTACCACTGACCACTTAAATCACCACAAAAATGGGCATTCGAATTGAATTTATGACACCCGACAACAAAGTTGTTTATGCACGTTATACGCCCCGAAGGATGTGCTATTTATGATATATACAGAATCCCCCAGCTGCTAAAACTTGTCCTGCGTTGTACACTTGACCTCTGTTTCTTATGGTCAGCCGGCAATTTATGGCCACTTAACTAAGCCATGGCCTCAACTTGACCAAAAAAAAAACACCCGAAGTAGCACAAAGAGATTTCCGCTAATCAAGTTGCAAATTTATTGATAGAAAAAATCGAATAAAAATAAAATAAATAGAAATGTTTGATGGACCAACTGATGGAGTGTTCGCTTGACTGTTTTATTGATTAACATAAAACCCAAGGCAAGTTGGTTAGAATTGTCTTAGCTCACCTCAATGCGATTATCGTCCAGTTCCAGCTCAGACAGGCTCCATAGCTCAGCAAAGACCGTATCGCCAATGAAATTGAGATTGTTGTGCGTCAATTTGAGCAGATTCAAGTTGCCCAATCCTCGGAAGATCTCGCTGGTCAAGACATTTATCTGATTGTGGGCCAAGTTCAGGAAGGTCAGCCGCGCCATGTCCGCAAAGAGACCTTCGTGCAGAGTGCTAATATTGTTGTTGTTCAGGTAGAGTCGCTCGCACAGCGGCAGATTGCGGAATGCATAGCGATCCATTTCGAAGATCTGGTTGTGCTCAAGATTCAGTTCACGCAGACGTATATGATTGGCAAAGGCATCCTGATCGAGCGCCATAATGTGATTGTTGTTCAAAATGATGCGTTCAAGGAAGGGCAAATTGGCAAAGGCATAGCTCTTAACAATCTCCACCTGCGAGTACTCGATGACAATGCTACTTAGATTCTTCAGCGGCTCAATGATCATGGTGGGAATGTAGTCCAGTCGTGCGTTGTTCTGTATGACAAACTTGAGTTCGCGCAAACGTTTCTGCTGATAGAAGCGCGTCCAGGTGGTATCATTCTGATGCAGTCCCTCTGAGAATACCCAGCACTCAGCCTTCTGGACGGGCATATGATTCTCGTCGGGTGTGCAGTAGCACATGAGCTTCATGTCACGACGGCGCATGCAAAAGCCGGTGCTATCGATGGGTCCGTTGTAGCCAGTGATGCCTGTCAACGAGCTGCTGCCACTGCTGCTCCCGTAGGCCGAGTTGCTAGTATAGTAGCCGCCATTGTTATTGCTGGTCACGGCCGATGCGGATGCGGAGGCGCCTGCATTGCTGCTACGTCCGCGATTGCCGCGTCGCTCCTCCTTGTCCCGCGAACGTGCCCCAACGGGCGCCACGAGGCAGCTGCTCAACAGCAGCAGCAAGCCCAGCAGCTTCCACATTCTGTGGCGCTCTTGATGATGCGGCAACATTGAGAAAGCGGGCCGCAAGTCCTTGGCTTGGGGCTAAAATGAAACAAACAAAAACCATGAATGACTCAGTCAATAAAATTTGTTTATCTGGCGCCAAATGGACGCAAAGCAGTCGGGCCGGGCAGGTGGCCCAGCTTCAAGACATAAAATGTGAAAAGTGAAAAGCTCTAAAATCCTCAATGTGGCTCAAATTGCTCGATAGAACATGGATAGCCATGGTGTGTGGGCTTACAAAGGGTGTAATGGATTTGTGGAGTAACTTGCAGAGAGAAGATATCTGAATGCATGTAGAGCTTACTACTCTGTAGAGACTATATAAGTTATAGAATTATATTATATTCTTAATCATATTTATATTCTTTATCAGGACAACGAAGTTCTGCAATCGAAAGTAGACTTCTAGGGGCTATCAGAAATATAGAAGCATGATCAAAAAATATAAATATATATATGATTTCTCTCCTTCTCTTTCTTCCCATTTTTTCTGTCTTTTTCTCTTCTTTCTATCACTCTCTTACCCAATCTAAGTCTAAGGCATATGATAAATAATATAAAATATAAATTTATTCTATTTCCATAATTCCCGGCCAAAATCGATAAATATCGATATCAACTTTACGATATCCTTTACGCACTTCTCAAGTATTTTAAGTAATATTAAAATCTCAATTCCAAATAACTTCTCATCCTCTATTCTTGCCAATCTATCTCAATCATTAGCTTCTTAAACGTCCAACCAGAACTAACAAACTCTATCTACATTCAATTAGGCACATAGTATCTGCTCGTCCAGGCACTCTCTACTGGCGCGCTCACTTGTTTTATGAGCTCAACCTGCCAAAGCTCTTAAATACTGTTTGCTCTCGATATTATTGCGTCCATTTGGTTCGCACACTAAAAACTTTGAATTGCCAAACATCAAAAATTTGATGCCACATTAAAAGCGCAAATTCTGGACAAACACGTCGTTCAGCATTAAAAGGAAGGCGAACGGAACTTGGGTGTGGAATTTCGGGGTTTCGAATTTCATTTATTATACTGAAAAGTGATGCGACTTTCAATTTATTGTGCTCAGACCCCTTTCCTTGCACTGCTTAAAAGTTAAAGCGCTCCATAAAAATGCTAATTAATGTTGTTAACTTTTTACTTTTCGCTCATATTTCATTTCACATTTTGTCTACGTCTCTCTCTCTCTCTCTCATTTCTTTGATTTTCCGGCTTTTTCAATGAATGCCGACTGTGAAAAGTTCATGACAAGGCTGTTTTTCAGTTGCCTACCCGCTGGCTTCATTTGACGCTCTGCTGGCTCTGGGCTCAACCTTCTCGCTTGGACCTCTCTCCAACTGCCCCGCCCACCACATAAACAAATTTATTGCGCTCATAAATAACTGCAACACTGTCGCTGATTGTTCGCTCAGCGGTGAACGGCTTCATGAAGTGCCCCGGCCCAGGCACAGGCCCACCCCCCGGCTCTGGTCCTTAGTCAATTGCATTTCAAGTGTCATTTGGCAAAGTGCTCTCTAATTATGATCGTATTTTTAATAAATTAATAAGTCACATCTGACATTGTGCATATTTTTGGATGTCTGCCCTCTGCCCTCTGGCCCACGCTGCCGCTGCTCTCAGTGCTCTGGCATAATGAAGTGTAAATAAGTTATTGGCAGTTGTCAAGTGAGTCATCGTTATCGAAGCCAGGCAGCCAGGCAGTCAGGCATTTCGCCAGTGATTTGCATAAAATATTGTCTTCACGCTTAAAATCAGTTAGTGGAGAGGGCTACGGTCGCATGGCCTTAGCCCCAAAAAGCTGAAAGCTGTATGCTCTAAGCTGTAAGCCGAAAGCTCACAGTCATTTGAGTTATTGACTTTGGCATGCTTCATTACATTGATTATCGTTATAAATTTTAAATAAAATGATGATAAGTGTTTTGATTGTTGCCGCCACGATGCCACGTTGCTGCGCTGCTTAAGTTGGCTTAGCAACGAGACATCCTGTTTGCATCCTGTGCAGAGTTCAAGGTTTCAGGCCTGGATTAACTACTCAAAACACAAGCAGCCGAAGCACTTGATGCCATCAATTTGAATATCAAAGCAAATTCAGAAACTAAAATGACAAATACAACCACAGCTGAGAAATCTAACAGCATGTGAGCAGAGAGCAGGAGAGAGAGGGAGAGGGAGACCTTTTCGATATATCTACCTCAAATTTTTAAGTGTGCTGTCAAGCAGCAAATCAAAAATACATATATGTAGGTGTACGCCAAAGCAGGTTTGTGTGTGTAATTAGATTTTCACACATACGCAGACACTCGAAAAGCAATTCATATGTGAATACATTGGCATTGGAGAGCGTCGCTGACAGCGCCACAGCCAATTACTCATAGCTGTATAGGTTTACAAGGAGTTGGGCGGGATTGGGGCGTGTCAGCAAATGAAAAATCAATTTGTTGTTTATGCATAAATCATATGATTTATGCGACTTCTAACAGCATTCATAAGTCATTTATCAACATAGCAGAAAAACTTTTCAAAACAAACCAGACAATAACAATTGAGATACACTGCAAGCATAATAAATAGACGGAGGACACTTAAAACTCAAGTGAAAGTCAAGCAAATCAAATTTGTAACCAAAAGAATTTACAGACAGATACATATAGCATATATAGAGAGCGAAAGATAGAGAGAGAGAGAGAAGAGGAGAGTGTGAGAGGGAGTTAGCTAACTTTTAGCCACAATCAAACTGTGTGAAGCAGTGACAATAAATATAACCTTGACGACAAACAGTTTAAAATATAAATGTAAGCACTAGACTAGGGAATACCCTGTAAATTGCTGAAGCAGAAATTATTGATATGCTGACATAGAAAACACGATAAGCCACAGTCAGCAACGTTTAGCTATTGAACTAGGCCATGCTTAGAAGGCCCTAAAATATTCTGCAACAATTTTGTATAAAAGTAATTTTAGCTGGCTTCTTCCTGAATAATCTGTGAATAGTATAGAAAGCATGTTAAGTGCCTGACTAATAGATATGCTGTAAAGAGCAGCAATTTCAAGTAAACGTAATTTTACTCTGCTTACTACAAGTAATAGAAGAAAATTTGACAAATAGTTATTTAGGGTAGACAGAGATATTTTATAGGTAACACACTTTAAACATAATTGTTCCTATTTATAAATACAGCAATCAGCTTTAATCAAGTGTAACATAAAACCTAAACTTATAAACTATAAAAGTCTCTAGGCCTAACTTCGAGTCTCTTAAAATGTTGGCATCTATCTACAATAAAAATATTCTATCTAAAACTAATATATATAGTATATAATATATATAGACTATATAGTCTATAATAATCAACCCACGGCAATACAATTTCAATTGGGTATAATTGTCCTGCAGGCACGAAAGCAAAAGCTGAACCTCCTTTCCCTTTTCTTAGCTGCGCTCCAAAGTGGGCCAAATTGCAACAAGAAGCCATTTGTCTTCTTGTTTATAATTTCGATTAAACTTTCTGTGTGAGAGGCGCACACACACACACACACAAGCAGACACATATGTTTAAAGTGTGTGTGCGTTAAGAACAATGGAAAGGGGTTTCGCCCCCCTGCTGAAGTGCGATAGAGAACTTGTTGACGTCGACCCACTAGGAAATTGGAGCAAAGCCGCAGCTAAGCTGTCAGCTCAGCCCAAAAGGGAGCCTGGTTGCAGCAGCATATAAATTGTAGCCTGAATGGAAATTTCTTCACTTTAACGTTTGGCAATTCTTCTGCTATAGCTCGCAGTGCTGTGCCTGTTTGCTTATCAGGCCGCATCGACTATATATATATGTATATATATATATATTCTGTTCGAGTGAGTGTGAAATGAAGCTGTGCGAGTAGCTGCTGATGAAGACAATGGCAAACCCGAGAGCCAGGCAAAAATCTGATCCCGCGGCTCTCATAGCGGCGGCGGCTGCTGCTGCTGTGGAAATTGTTTTCAATTTTCGTTATTTGACAAATGGTGACACTTCCGCTGTGGCAGAGCCCGAGCAAACCAGCAGGACTTTAACAATATGTCTGTCGCAGTTGGGGGGCGTGCGCGTGTGTGAGGTTTTGTCAACAATAAGTTTATACGTCAGACGAGTCGTTGTTGTTTATGACGTGACACCCAAACACCCACATAGCCAGCAACCCAACAACCCAACAACCCAGCAACCCACCAGGCGACTGCTCATCATTGCTCGTCAGCGCTCACATTATGAGCAGCTACATCCTGACTGCCTGCCCGTATGTGAATAACTTTAAGCTGTGACATGGCACACATGTACATGCTGCTCATCCTGGCCCTGGACGGGCAACGGACGTGCTTGACTTTGACTGAATGCTCACAGACTGGGCACAACGCTGCCTGGCTGGCTATAGCTGGCTGCTGACAAGTCACTAGCCGTCGTCTACTTTATTTGGCCGCAAATAAAAAGGGACAAACGACACGTCGGACAGTTGGCGGCATTCCATATAAACCAAAGTGCAGTCATGCCTCGATCCAAAAGTCCGAGGACTCTGACAAATGGCAATGGCGAGGGCCAAAGTGCCCTACAAAGCGAAGTGCCCATCAATCAGACGAGTTATGACATTTGCACGTAGCTCACTCACTTTGTCTTTCTTCTCTTCTTCTCTTTTTTTATTACTCATATTTATATATACATATATATTATTCTTATTGAAATGTTACATTTGATTTGCTTAGTTGAGCGTCTCAGCTTGATTTGTTTGCTAAAGGATTGTCACCTGTCAACGACAGCAGAGGCAGCACACACAGTGAGGCATTGACTGCTGCTGCTGCTGCTGTTAGATTAAAAAAGAGTTTAAGTCTGTCAAAAGGAGTGTAAAGTTAGGGGAATATGCTGAATATTTATAGAAGTGAAAATATGCAAAGGGAAATTCTTAATGTTTATTGTGTTAAAATGATTTGTTGATGGGAATATTTATCATTGATTCATGTAGAAGAGAGTTTAGGGAATAACATTGGATTGATGTACTAAAAATATCATTAAGAGATACACAATTGCAACTATATGAAGAGATAATAATGTAGGAAATTCGCTTTCTTAGCTGTCCTCTATTTCCTACATTCGCCTCATCTCTTCTCTTTCAGTAAGTAGTCTCTTATTATGCGTTTAACTCGGCTCTTGATTGTTGTTAGTTATCCAACTCATCTGATCTCATCTCATCATAATACTCAGTGCGTATCTTCTCTAATATTCTTCTTCCTTCTCTCTATCTTATTTCTTCCGTTATTGTTCTAATTTCCCCCTTTAGGATATTCTATCTTCTATCTTCTCTCTCTCACTCTCTCTTCTCTCTTCTCTCTTCTGTTACTCTCCTCTTCCCTAAGCGTTCTCCTCTTCTCTCTTCTGTTCTGCCTACTTCCCTCTGCTCTAAACTTTTCCCTCTTGTCTCTTCTCTCTCTCTCTCTCTCTCTCTTTCTCTTTTATCTCTTATCTCTTCTCTCTTCTTTCTTCTCTCTTCTCTCTTATGCTACTTTCCTCTTCTCTAAGCTTTCTCCTCTTCTCTCTTCTGTTCTGCCTACATCCCTCTTCTCTAAGCTTTCCCCTCTTGTCTCTTCTCTCTCTCTCTCTCTCTCTCTCTCTCTTCTCTCTTCTCTCTTCTGTTACTCTCCTCTTCTCTAAGCTTTCTCCTCTTCTCTCTTCTGTTCTGCTTACATCCCTGTTCTCTAATATTTCCCCTCTTTTCTCTTCTCTTCTGCCTTCATCCCTGCCCTTGCCCGCTACAGCTTTTCCGTTTACTCTCCCACTCTTCTTAGCTCACTACTAATTTTAGTAATATATTATGTCAGGTAACGAGAACGCAACTAAAATCAGCTCACTAAGAACTTTTGTTACACTTTAACCCTTATGCGTGCTATATTATAAATGGCATAGCTCAACGCTCAGCGGGGTGTGTTAATCAGCTGTGAATAAACTTTTAGTCATATTAGTTTTTTTTTTCCGTATTTATTGTCAGCCATGTCGCACTCTATAAATATATATATGTATGTGTGTGTGTGTGTATGTATGTTTATATATATTAAATTGCTTGCCATTTGAATGTGACATTTCGACTGTCATTTGTGAACCCTTTCGCCTGTTCGTTTATTATTATCATGCGAAGAAGTCATTGCCAGCTGTCGCAGCAAATCATATACATATACACATACACATACACATACATATACTTATACTATGTGTTCCTATTTTCAACTAAAAGCTGAGCTATGCCAAAATCTAGGAGTCCCTACGAGTGTCTCTCCTTGCTGTTGGTTTTTCTTCGCTGCGCACTTTTGACTACTTTTCAGTTGAGGTCCTAGCCCCCCTTCCATTCCCTTCCCCCAAGCCGTTCTAGCCACGTTCTTCTTCCTCTTTTGGCTTTTAGCATACCTGTCAGCAAAATAAAATGAAAAGTAGTTCTCAGTGGAAACTTTCGCTCATCGTCGCCAGCCGCCATATTGTTGACACATATTTTCGTTGCAAAACTTATATATGCAAGCGCCCAGCCACGCCCACAAAAAAAGGAAGAAAGAACAGAAACGCCCCACTGCACTTGAGCCAAGCAGCCAGCCCCATTACTTTTGGCTGTCTTTTTTTTCACTTAGAATTCGTAGCTTGGCTTTTATTTGCCATTTTTCTCCAGTTCTTTTTTTTGCATTTTTTTGGTTTCCTCTCAAGTGTAGAGCTTTAACTTTTGATGCACAATTTGTTTGCTGCCGCAGCAGTCGGTTCTCCTTCTCGCCTCGATTTTATTTAAGCCTGGCTACTGTTTAATGCTAAAATTGGCAGCACCTGGCCAAAAGTGTCGGCGGCTGGCACAACTGTCCCCGGTAGATAAGTAGACCTTGGCTTGGCTTTAGCGCTAGCCATAGCTCTTCCTTTGCTTTATTTGTATATACCCTAGCTATTGCAGGCAGTTGTCGAATGGCTATATTGGCAGACTCTCATAGGGTATAAAGTTATTATATTTCTATCTTTAATAAACACTTCAAATATGGTTGCTCGAATATCATGAATTTTTCTCTCTCACTCTCTGCCTGCAACTATCTCTTTTGCTACCGTTCTCTTCCTGTGTTTCTCTCTCTCTCTGTATGTATATCTGTATGTTTCTTTTTCAGTATGTCTCTCTCTCCATTCATCTCTTTCTCACTCTATACATTCATCCATCTGAATACTTCTATCTTTATGTCTCTCTCGCTCTTTCTGTCTGTTTCAGTATGATCCTATCTCTCTGTCTGCTTATCTATCTCCCTCTCTCTCTCTCTCTTTGTTAGTCTATTTGTCTCTATCTTTTTCTCTATAGTAGTCTGTATCTCGCTGTCATTGACGCGATCTCTCTCTCTCTTCCTCTCTGTCTCTGTCCCTTCCAATCTATAGGTTATAATAACTAGAAATTTTCACTACAAATTTCATAATAAAGTTAGTAAGGGTAAGTAGAACAGTTGTTCCATGCACTCAAAGCCTTTACGGGCTAAAACACAGGGTACCTGGTAGCACCTTAACCCATTGAAACTTGTATTTTGTTGTTTTTTTTTAGCCATTTTGTTGTTTGACCAAGTTGCCTTCACCTTTTTGTTGACACGCAGCGAGTGGAATGAGATAAATGCAGATACAGTAAGAGCGAGAGAGAGACAAAGAGAGGAGAGTCAAGGAATGCAGGTGTGAGAGAGGTAAGCGAAAAATTATTATTTTCACCGTTGACTGCAACTTTGTTGCAACTTTCTGACGCAAAGTGAAAATTTGTCATGCTCCTTGAGCAGCTTGGCTAAGTATGTGTCTTGCTTTATCTGCTGCTGCTGCTGTCTGATATAATAAATTTCTTCAGTTTAGCTCAAATGCTCATGAAGACAAACATAAAACCGAAAATATAAACACAAACTCAAACACAAACACTACAAACATAAATACAGACCGATGAGCCCCCGGGCTGGAGAGGGGTAAGAGAATTTTATGTCGAAAATGAGTCGTCGTCGACGACGACGTCTGGGTAAAAACTTTTAACTCAACTGTCAAATATTTTAACAATTTTGCATAAAACATTATGAAGATGCCAAAAGGCGTAGGCAATGGCAGTCGCTCTCCCTCTCTCTCTCTCAGTCTCTCCATATTTATATAGCCTACTCTATCTCACATGTCTGAGCTGATGATTTTGAAAGTGAATTTCAAATGAGCTTAACTCTGCTTTAAGTCTATGGTCATATGTATGCATTGCTTTATTCATGGCAGCGCTTTAGATTAGGCCTCTATACACTTGCCTCTCTCCCTCTGTCTTTCTCTCTCTCTTTCTATTGACTCATTCCCTCTGTCTCTATTTAACTCTCATTTAAGTCTATCTCAAGCTGTGTGCATTTCTCTATTTATATTTAAATTCTATTTCAATCTCTCTCTCTCTCTTTTTATATCAGCCTTAAGTCTAGATTGGCTCTATGAGCTGACAGTTTTTATATATATTTTTCTGTTTCTCTACATCTTACTCTCTCTGTTTTTAATGTTGTATGTGTGCCTTCTCTTCTATCCATTCAATTTGACAATGAATTGGAAGTGAGCTTAACTTTTTACTTTAACTCTATTCTAATCTATATCTATCTTTCTCTTTCTATTTCTGCTTTCACTTAGATCTCTTCTGTTCGTTTTACATTCTATCCCTTTCTCCGTTTTTCTTCTTCTGTCTGTCACTCTCAGCATCTTTCTCTATTTATCTATCTTTCTATCTAGCTGTCTCAATCTCTCTTTCTCCCTCTCTCTCTCTCTTTATCTCTCTCACTCATTTTTTCTTCCTCTCTTGCTCTTTCCCTCTCCGTCTTTCTCTCTCTGTCTCTCCCTCAGCTTTCCCTACTTGTTGCTTGCTCTTTTTCTATATTGCTCTCTCTCTCTCTCTCTTTCACTCTCTTCTTTTTCTTCTACTTGACTCCTTGTATCTTTATCTCTTTATCTTTATCTAACTCTAGCAACCTAACTGCTTTCTTTCTCCCCCCCCTTATCTCCCCTTTACCTCTGCTGATTTCTAACTCTACCTATCATCTTCCCATCCCTTAATTAGTTAAGTCCTTAGCGTTATAAACTTAGTATATTCAACTGTTTGCCCTGACACTTAAACATATATGTATATAGATTTGTATATATTCAGTATATACATGTATAAATTCATTTGCTCTTCTGTCTTGCTCACCTTTTGATTAAGTGTATAAAAAGGACCGCGTCACGTACGGACCTCTGCAGTGCTGTAGATTTTTTCCGCTGACTAATGCGCTGTTCTGTAAGACAAAGTAAAAAAATAAATGATAAACATGAATTAATGTGATAAATTTAGCTGTACATTCACTCAAATATACAGATGTGTATAAATATATAGAAGACATAGAAGTTTTTTATGGCTTGTCTGCCAACTTAGCTTGGCTTCAATTTCTGAATACTTGTCTATAAATAGTTCCATTAAGACTCTGGGTTAGTTTATATAGACTACTTTAATCTCATATCTCATTTGGTAGATAATAATATTATTAGTCGCATTGTCAGCTGTGGTTGGTTTTTTGAGGGCGGAGGCGTGGCCAGGTGAGTTGTGGCTGAAAGTATGCGCACAGCACAAATCTAATTGCGTTAATTTCCAGGTAATTGTAGCCTGGGCCGAAATTGTGACCGAGGACATGCGACTACGTAAAAACTATTAACACGCAGCTGCGCTGAGCAGAGTCCACATGTGGGCGTGGACTGAGGTGTATGCATGGGCGTGGGTCATTGCGCGTTATTCAAATAGTTTTTATTTACCACGCGCCGCTCATAACTTTCTGCGTGTCCATTGTCCACAATGCGCACAACGACGACGATGACGAGTTGTGGCAGCAATTCCCTGGCCTCAACTTAATTGTCACGGTCTACACAAACACACTCATAGACACACACACGCATTCTATTGTTGTGTTTGTGGCATAAAATGAAATAATTGCATTTGCTGCGCCTACAAAAACAGTCCAAAAGCACAAGCACATGACACAACAAACACACACACACTCACACACACATACACACAACAGCTGCCTGCTCACAAACGCCCACAAGTTATACCACTTCTATTGGAATTACTTGCTTTGGAGTCCCCAAATGGGGAAAACGATTTTTTACACTGAGCGCAAATACGAGTCTCTTCTAAATACACGCTAAACAAAGCAACTAATATTTATTAGTCCCATTTAAATTATAAAAACTCAACTTCATTTTTAGCTTTATTTTTTAGCATTTCATTTCCTAGCAAATTTCTCTCAGTGTACTTTGCCTATAATGTAGTTCTGTTTTTTTTCTTTTGCATAAGTCGGCAATTGTAATCGTTTGGCTATCGCCCACATCGTGTTTAGTTTTTTTACCCATTGTTGTTAATTAGGCCCGCATTATTTGTACAGAGCAGACTTTGTGCTGGAGCTGGAATTCGAGTTGGAATTTAATAAGCTTTGCGTTCATATTGATATAGGCACAACAACACTGGGAATTGACTTCCACTCTCCCACTCTCCTTAATAGCTGACTATTTAGCCATATCGTGGCATTCAAATCTAGCTGATTGCTGTGACTATTCCCGCTACCCCGCGAATGTCAAACGAGTTCAGCGAGCGGCGGCTGCTAAGGGCAACCGACAGAATTGTGAACGAAAGCTCAAAATCCATGACAATTTACTATCAAGTGGGCACGTAATATATAGTAATGCGAATAGTTAACTAGTTAAAGATTGACAGACTAGATGATACCCATTGGCTGAGTAATGACAGTCAATATGTTCTTACTTTAGTTTTGCTATGTGAGAGTAGACATAATCGATAGCTAGTTGTAAGTGATTAAGTATCGATATTTATCTTTATATAATACATAAATATATAGACAAGACTATCAGATACCCATTAGTGTATAAATGAAAGTAAAACTACCCTTGATTCATCTCTGCTATTCAAGAGCTCTTTTGGTCTAATGCTCAAATTTCTAGTGTTGATCGATATTTATCGATTACTTATGCGTGCATAAATAACAAACTAAATGATAAACATTTCATTAGCAACTTCTCTTTGACTATTTATTTAGATATTTTAACCGATATCTTGTGCAAATATGCAATTTATCGATACTTATCGTTTTCTTAAAGAATACAATATTACAAAGAATCAACCAATTAAGTTGAATTATTCGTGATAACGGAACAATCAAAGCTTCCTTCACAAATCATATATCGATAATTATCGATTACATATAAATATGAAACAGACTAAAAATCAGATTACTTTAAGAAGAAGAAAAAGACTTATGCATGCATCAACAACAGCAATATCCCATTTCATGTTTATTACAGGGTATTATAATATTGCAGTTATGTAACCCATTTTGCACAGCAGCAATCGTTAGGTTTGCTATGCTGTCACATTTCAGAGCTATGCCCTATTCCCTAGAGACTTAATCTCTTATTTGCAAGTGAATAAAGAAGAGAACTTCAAGCTTCAAGAAGTTTTACGAAAATTGCAGCAAAACGTTTCCATTTCATGTGCGGCAATAAAAATTTAATATAATTACGCACAATTTCCAGTTGAAGTTTATGTGACGCACACATAAACACACACACACAAGCAGAGGGAAAGAGAGACACTTATGCATCGCCAGGAGCAGGACTTGATGTGACTTTTGACAGCGTTAGGGTCCTCTCGCCTGTCGCCTTTCTTCTAGCCAAGACAAACATAAACACTTGCGAGTGGAAGGAGGATTTCCCAGGGTATCCGAAGTGGAGGTTGCAGCTGATTTCATAAAGTGTAACAAGCCAAAGCTTTGAGCTCAACTGCTGCGACAAATAAGCGACAGACTGAAGGGCAAACCTCCGAGCTGCCTGCAAGTCGACAATAAAGCGTTGCGGAAAAGTTTACAAGTTGCCGCCGGGGCGGAGGATGCCCGCAAAGTGAAAGGGGCCGGGGATAAGTGTTGTGGCTGCTTCACAGGCAAACACACACAAACACAGGCGGGATACAGAAAATACACCGCGTATCGCCTGCGAGTTAAATATTTGTTATACCCTGCAATGCATGTAAGTGATTTAAATAGGGTATACACCAGTTAGGCAGTGCGCAATCAAAAAAGACCTTACTCTAATAGGTTATCCGATGTACCAATAACGATATTTATCGGTTCAGTTTTCACAACTCGAACATCCGATGTTAATTATTTAACAGAGTATCTGTTAGTCTCATACTCTGAGACGCGCTCTTTGGCACGCTCAGTTGTTTCTGCTGCGCTTGATTACATTGAAGACCCCAAAGCAAAGTCGACAGCGAGCTCGAGTGAATTTGTCGTACATTTCTCCCCACACATTCGCTCGCAGCGTAGTTGTTATTTCTTAATATTGAGTGCGGCTATTCAGAGAGCAGCTTCTCTGCCAAGAGCATCTACAAGTTGCTCTGCTCAGCTAACAACGTCTGTTTTCAGCCTCTGCCAGCAACCTCTGCTAGCAACCTCTGCCAGCAGCCCTTGCCAGCAGCCTCTGCTAGCAACCTCTCCTGGCAGCGGGCATATGTCATTCGACTTAACCTTTGACAGGCTCAGCTGCGGCTGCTCCTCTCACTGACTTTTACCACCTGCCCACAAATTGAGTGGCTGCCAATGTAATCAGATCATTTGCTACGCTTGAACAGGTACGCTATAAACTTTTATTTGATTGGAAATGGAAGTAGGAAGTCTTTGACGAAACGCACCTGAGAAACTGATTGGAACTGTTTCAACAATTAAAATATTGCATAGCATTTTTGCTCCAGCCAAAACACTCACTAACAATTTAATTTTGATATTGCAAAATTTCTCTTCTAAATCAGTCAACAGCGTGTGACCAGTTACTGCGATCGCTAAAATACTATATACTAATTATCAATTCTGCTTTATAAAATACTAAAGGCTTTAAATACTGAACATGCAAAACCTAATATCAGCAGTTGTTGCTTTGCCGCCATGTTTTCTCATATTTTTTATTGCGTTCTGATGGATATGTCAATTGGCGTTAATGTAATTATGTAATAAAGCAGCGTTAATGGTTGAGGTGCAGCTGTTGCGGCAGTTGGCCTATTTCCTGCCCGAAAAAAAACGTTGAACAGCCGCTAATATTAATTAGCCAACGGCAACAACAACAATAACATAAGCAGAGACGCTGTTTACATTTTTGCTATGCTAAATGGCCATAACAACTTCCGTGTGACACACAAACATAAATATGTTTGTATATGTGTGCGTGTGTCCCACCCTATTTCGGCCTCTCATTTACAACAATAAACAGCAGCATAAAAGCCATGAAACTGATTTTTCACGCCATTTTCGTTTACATTTTCTGCTGCCGCTGTTATTCGCTACTGTTGCTGCTGCTCCCTCTGTTGTTCTTGCTCTTGCTTTTGTTACATTCTCTGTTATTCTTATTTGCTTTTGCCTTGGCTCCGGCAGCAGAGCTCTGCCATATGTAATTAAAATATAATAATTTTGCCGAGCAAAACAAAGAAGCTCAACGAAATATATATGTATATAAAAAAGCGCTGCCTTGTATATGTATTTATGATGAAAGTTTGGCATTTGCTGGGCGTGTGGTTTGGATGGGCGCAGTAGCGTGCTTTAAGGCTATACGATGCTCATAATGATGGCCACTCTGCACGCACGCACCTGCCAGCAGATCCGGCAACAGTCTGCCAGCTCTCGCATGTCCTTCACCTTTGTATTGTTGATTTTTTTCTTCCACTTTTCTCTGCTTTTTGCTTTCTGCCTTCTGCACATTTGATACGCATCATAAATGAAAATACTCATATAAATATTTCATATTTTAACACAAAAACCACCCACAAAATGACAACAAGTCGTTGTCAGCAGTCGCTGCCGCAGTCGCTGTCGCCGTCAACGCAATTGCTGTAGCAGCTTGCGCTGCCACGCCCATCGACACATTTCACTTTGCAGTCTGAATATTTCCGCCCATTAAATTGACATACGCGCATTCGCATTCGCATTCGCATTCATTTCCTTTTCCCGTATTGCGAGAATACCCTTACTGTAAATCATATATTCTTTGCCGTCTAATAGAAATCATTCAAATCTTATTGAGTAGAAGTTGAAACAAATATTTTTAACGCATCTATACTATATTCATACTGAGTATAAAATTGTTTTCTAGCAAATAAATAAAATTAATAATAGAGTCTAACATTTATGAAAATAATGTAAAAAATTTAATATAATTAAAAGCTATTTTAAATAATTATCATTTC